CCACGTTTGAGATTATTTTAGTTTGAAAAAATGTGCGGTTACGTTCGAAGAAGAGGTCCTGCTTGTGGGGCTATTGTGGGTATGTCGCGTACTATTAAAGTCCAAAGTTTACCAGCCCATGTATTAGTGGTGCACTTGATCATGTCAAAAAGAACAGTATTTTCTTGTGGTGTGCGTGTCTGCGTGTGCTGTATATACGTAGTGCATATGGTTTCTACAAGTCGTGAACTCGTAATACACCATGTGATTGATATGTACAAATTTTAAAATAATAAAAGGACTGGTAATATAAAATTATGGACATTCATCTAGAGTTAAAATAAAAGAATGGCAACGGAGGTGCCATATTCTCTATATAGTAAACATGTATTCTCCATAACACCAGCATCCCATTCTAGATATAGTGGAATATCATATGGTTATTTATGAGTGAGGGCTGCGACCTGTGGTCTGTGGACCTGCGGCACTGGCAGTGACTGGGAGAATACATTTTCATCCAGCGCCGCATAATATAAAATACAATTTCTAGTAGTACAGTGGGCAGTGGCAGAGTCAGAGTCAGATGAGCATGATTTGGCCATATATATTTATGTAATTTATATTTTAGAGCCTTCTTCTGAAAAAAACATAAGATGTAATCATACATAAAATAGCGAATCAGAAAATTAATATTTACATCGTATGATGTAAATACATATATTTTTAAATACATAACTTCCTATATTATTTGCTTTCTTTTTTTTGTAGTAAAAATAGCCACAAAAATAGCCCCCTGTAAAAAAGAAGCAAGGAGTTTAAGGTATGTACATAGGCGAAAACCCTGAAACCCCCCTGAAAACTCCGAATACTTAGAAAACCCTGAAACCCAACCATAAATACGTACATATGTATTTATGTATAAATATAGTACCTATGTGGAATAAAAGTCCGACGTCCGTGATTTTGCTGAAAAGTCTCGTCGTCCTTTGGTTCGCCTGTGCCTTCGGGTCAAACAGCGAGAACACGCGAGACGAACAGCACCAGTGGTGACGTGAGTCTCCACTGGCCCGCAGAGTTTATTTCTGTTTTTTCTAAAAATTAAAAACTAGATTCCAGGGGTCTTGTCTTCCTTGTTTCTTCTTTCTGGGGCTTCTGGGGGTTGTATCTGAAAAGTGATGTCTCACACTGACCCTTGTAGTCCTTATATATTCGGCCGGGATCTCATTTTTGGTTTTTGGTCCGGCTTGTAGGACTGAGTCTTGTGTTCGGATTATTTCTGAAAACAAATACCAGAAGACTTGTCCGGCACTTTTAGTTATTAAAAACATTCTGTTTTTTCATTGTATAAAATATGAAGTGATATTTCTCGTCATATAGATAGGATTCTATTCTTGCGATTAAAAGCTCAAAGTGACAGTGAATTAAGAGCTTCCAAAAGCAACATGCAGAAGCACATAGCTGTAATAGGAGCTGGTATAGGTGGCCTGTCACTGGCCAAGGCACTTGAGCTTCGACATATACCTTTCACGGTATTTGAGAAGGTGCCTGTATCAAAAGGATTGGGTATGGGTATACAGTTAAGTCCTAATGTGGTGCGAGTGCTGCACAGTTTGGGGTTAAACAAGGAGATCGAGAATATCTCACACCGATGTCACGGAGTGGAAGTGCGATCATTCAAAGACGACAAGAAACTGGTGGGGTGGCGGATTGCTTATGATACACCCTACTATCAGTGCAGGTATGTGATATTTTATATATTATGGTTTATCTGAAAGCTTATGATTCATCGTACTAAAATTGTACATCTACTTTGTACTTTCGAGAACACCAAAAGTTTCACCTTGCTATCAGTGCATTTATAGATATGATTTCCACTTTGTACCCTGTATTGTGCTTATCATACACTATACTGAGCATGAGTACTTGATACTATGTTGAAATTGTTCTCAGTATGACTACAAATGATAATCTACTATCAAAAGCACGATTTGATAAAGTATCTGTTTTGTGGTTGGAATCGTAGATTGTTACAAATTCTATTACCCGTACAGTCATACAATAGTGCATGCATATTGTTTTTTTTGGTTATTAGTGACAGATTCTATCAGAGCAGGTATACGATGAAGATCCAATGTATGCGTTGTATGGCGGCAAATACTGCACATTCCTCAGTACAAGTTTGTCATGTTCTATATATATATATATGTGTGTGTGTGTATACAAATATATATAAACAA